AAAAAGATGCTTCTGATGTCTGAGAAGGAACCAGTTAATTGAAGCTTGTCCCAGTCCCTAAAGTGATGTAATTTTCTCTCTGGGGTAGTGGCGGTGGTTTCTAAGGAGCAGTTTTCAGGGATGACTGGCCCTTTCTAAGGAGAGTTTTAAGGGATGACTGACCCGTAGAACTGCCAGCTGTCCCAGCTGTGGATGAGAAACTTGACACAGGAAATGATCTTATTTACGATTAGTTGGAGGTGGTTTGTCCTTCTTTTCACAGCCCCTGTCCACCCCAGCCCCAGGCTCCTGCTAACCCCAGGCAGTCATTGGACATTTTTTTTTAAGATTTATTTATTTATGCATACAAGAACTGGGGTACAGGCCAGAGATGTGGGAGGTGAGAAGATTCACCAGAGACAGAGTGGGGAGCAGAACAGGCAGACTGATGAAATCCACTGCTGAGGGGAGCAGCGGGAGAGACAGGAGAGGTCTGCTGTGCCATGTGGGATTCTCGCCTCCCGGGATTGAACTGTGAATTGCTTCATGGTTGTGTCTTAACCCCTTGCGCCACCAGGGAGGCCCTCATTGGACAATTTAGATGGACACCTGCAGTTCCTCTGAAGCTGTTCCCTTCCCACCACAAAGCTGTGTGAGTGTGAGCTCCCAAACTGTATTTCTGGTCACAGCCAAGCTCCCTGGCCTCAGAACCCGAATTCTGCTTTACAAAAAAACACCCCCTCCCCCACCCACCCACCCTCTTGTATAGTTGAAGTCCCAGGGCTTGGCCTAGCTGGACAGACAGTTGCCTAGGGCAGCCAGCTGTTTAGTGATTGTTTATTATGGGAGTGACTAGGAGCTAAGGACAGACACTTCCCAGATTCCCTCAGGCTGCAGAAAACTCCAGCAGGGTGTGGGCAAAGGGCTCGGGCTCAGTTATAACAAGAAAGGGTGAAATGATAGAGTGGAAAATTTTAGACATTTGTTGTTTCAGATTTGTTTTACTAAAGGGGGAAGGGGCAGGGGTGAGACATTACTGTACATTCCTAAAGCCTCTCCCTATTCTGACTGCCAATGATGAGGTAGCTTTTCCAGCTTTGACTGGTACCCCATGCATGATTGGGAGAGGCCTGAGACAGAAATGAGGAGGTCGTCATCTTCAAATAGAATGACAACGATGCAGATAAATGCAGTGATGAAAACCACATGTGACCCAAGTCTTCCCCCCCACAACCCCAAAACACAGACACAGCAGCTGGGGTTGCTGAGAGCAGTCATTGGAAGCAGGGGTCCTTCTGTGGAGCTCAGGGTACAAATTATCCTAGCCCCATGAAGCTGGGGCTGTGGGAATTGTGAAGTGTCTGTATCCTGCCAGTTGTCCTGTGTGACCTCAGGGGGAGCCAGCTACTGTCCTTCGTCTTCTGTGTTCTCTTCCCTCATTGTCACACTATTTCCATCTTACCTAACATTGCTGCTTCCCCCACCACAGCCCACTGTCACCCAGTCCTGTTCTCATATGTTCATGCTAAGAAAATCTTTGGTACTGAAAATTACACACAAATTGGATTCAGACCCTAGATCTGTCACTGACTAATGCCTGGGGCATGTGGCCTAATGTCACTGAACCTCAGTTTCTCAATAAAAGTGAGAATAATAAGGCTTTTCTTCCCAGTCTCTTTAAATTTGTACACTGTAAATTGTTGTACATATGGAACATTTTTAGCCGAAATTCCACATTTCAAAATCTAACTGGAATCCAACATAGCCCCTACAATGGTATCATCGTTACTCTCCTTCTGTTTTATTTTCTTCCTAGCCCTTCTCATTAACTTGAAATCTGGTAGTCATTTCTCACTCTCTGTATTTCTTTACTGTAAGGGGGGCTTGCAGCTGCCCTGTCTGACTTATGAGCTCCCAAATCCCCAACACCCGGGTATTCCTGGCACTTGGATAGAGCTCAGTCTATCTAAATAATGAAAATTTACCGAAATTCAGCTTCATCATAGCACTTGAACAGGCTTGAGGGAAAAACTTCATGACAGTTTCTCAAATCAGGAATGAGTCTCTTGTTCACAGAATATCTTATTCAGAGGTTATGCCAATGTATGTCAGGCTGTATCCTTCTCTGGACAAAATCCTGAAAGTTTCCCTGTCTGGCAGTATAAATGCCAAAGCCCCACCATGACCTCTAAGGTCCTATAGGGTCTTCCCTAACTGCCCACCTCTCCTTACCATTTTCTGCCCTGAACTCTTTCCCTCTATCCCAATTGACTCACTGGTTTCATTACTCTTTCCCAGACAGGACAAACAAAGGCCTCAGGGCCTTTGTACATGCTAGTCCTTGTCGGCCCCAGGCAGCCACATGACACATGAAGCCACATGCCTTCATTTCCTCTAAGTTTCTTCTCAGATCCCATCTTAGTAATAAGGCCCCCTTTAACCACACTAAATAAAAGGGCAACCCTTATCCCATCTCCCCAGCCCTTAGAACTGCCTTTCCCCCCCTAACATTAATCTGTTGCATCTAGAATATTAACTACACAAGGCAAGGATGTGGTCTGTTTAGTCACTATAATAGCCCCAGCAACTGCTACAGTGCCTTTACAAAATAAGCATTTCTTGAACTGATTAATCCTGTTGTCTCTCAGCCAAATGGAAGCTTCTCTCTCTCTCTCTCTCTCTCTCTCTCTCTCTCTCTCTCTCTCTCTCTCTCTCTCTCTCTGTCACACACACACACACGCACACACACACACAGAGAGAGAGAGCTAAATCTGTTGCTGGATTTCTTTTCCAGGAGTAATTTTTCCCCAGGGCTAAAGATATGAAAACATCACAGAACATATGAAACCCAGAAGTGGATTCTCACCTTGGTGCTTCCACTAACTCTATAACCTTGAGCAAGTCAGCTCACCTCTCTAAGTTTCAGATTCTCGTTGGTAAAATCAGGAGTACCTGCACCATATTTCAGGCTCAGCTCACTGGGCTCTATGACAGTGAAATGAGATCAAATGGATAATATATGAGAAAGCCCTTTGCAATCTGCATTGCACAGGGCAAGTGTAAGATTTCATCATCACACCCTTGGACAAATATGGACACAAGATTGTGAGATCATGTTTGCAAGTCGACAGCATTAAATATATGAAATATCACCCACCAAGCACAACAGTTTCCAGATGCTTTACAGATTCTGGAATGGTCATTGACTGGTGTAAGCAAAGAGGAAAAGGGAAGATGGAAAAGTCACCAATGGACAAAAGGCAAGGACGTCTTCCTTCCAGGGATGTATAAAGCACCAAAGGCACAAGTGCTGTCCAAGGGTCCACTCCTGCATTTGCTATAGGAAAAACATAATTGGCTCAAAAATGTGAAAATAAGCCAGAATATTGAAATCCATAAATGGTGAAGGCCTCTAAAATGTGTGGTTTTAGGTTAACTGTCAAGGTAATCCATTCTTCATGAAGTTACACAAAATTTTGATAAGTCTCAGCTTTTTTTTTTTTTTTTAAGATTTATTTATTTATTTCCACAAGCACTGGGTACAGTCAGAAACGCAGGAGGGTGAGGAAATTCACCAGAGCCAGAGCAGGGAGCAGAACAGGCAGACTGACAAAGTACACTGCTGAGGGGAGCAGCGGGTATGGCAGGAAAGGTCTGCACGCCTTGTGGGACCCTTGCCAGTGGCTGGGGATCGAACCTGTGCTGCAGAGGCTGTGGGCAGCTTTGCAGCCCTGCGCTCAACCGCTGCGCCACTGGGGAGGCCCTGTCTCAGCTTTTTGTGATATGTGAAGAAAATGGAAAAGACAAGCAGACCCACTTGGGGGCATTGTGGAGAGCAGAGATTCCCAGCCAGGAAGCAGGGGCCTCGTTTTCAGGCCCTTCTCTGCATAGTAGATTGCTAGGTAACCTCCAGAAATTCCCTTTGCCTGCCAGACCTTGAGGTCTTCATCCCCAAAACATAGAGTAGAGCTGGCTGACACCTTTCCAGAGGAAACAACCCTGGGTTCTTAATTCTCCAGGGTTAGAGTCTGGGAGCCACTTAGGAGAAAGGAAATGGAACTCCTTGGAGAAGCGCAAGAAAACTGGAGACTGTCAGGCCCGGGCAGAGCCAGGCAGGAAAGATGAGCAAGGACAACATGAGAGAGATTGGACCCTGTGAGGATCAAAGCCAGGGCCAGGTGCTTTGTACTTGTCAGCCTCCAAGGTCCAAGCACCATCCTTATCCCTGTCTTAAGGGAGGAAGCAGAGACGCAAACCTGGGGAGGGGCTCCCGACCTAGTTCTCATACACTCCTTAAACAAATATATATTGGAGGGCCTCCCTGGTAGCGCAAGGGGTTAAATCACAGCACTATGAAGCTATCGCAGCTACTGCAGCACGAGTTCAATCCCAGCCAGGGAGCTACCCACATGGCACAGCAGACCTCTCCTGACTTGCCCACTGCTCCCCTCAGCAGTGTATTTCAGTAGATCTGCCTGTTCTGTTCCCCACTCTGTATCTGGTGAATCCTCTCACACCCCACACCTCTGACCTGTACCCCAGTTCTTGTATGCATAAATAAATAAATCATATATATATGTGTACATATATATATATATATATATATATATATATATTTCAGTAGATCTGCCTGTTCTGTTCCCCACTATGTTTCTGGTGAATCCCCTCATCCCCCTGCACTTCTGGCCTACACCCCAGGATATATATATATATATATATATATATATATAGAGAGAGAGAGAGAGAGAGAGAGAGAGAGAGAGAGAGAGAGAGTAGCCACTCTGTGTCAGGTAAGATGCCAGTCACTGAGGCATCTATAATTCTTGACCATTCACAAAAAACACTTCATGAGAACAATTTTGCTTGTGTCACTAGAACCATGTGGATTAGGAAAAGAGTCATATCCCTATTTAACAAATGATAAAGTAAGTCTTGTGTACAGGGTTTCTAGGTCTAGGCCCACTTGACCTTTTCTCTGTGTAATTCTTTGTTGCAGGGGCCTGGTGGTGCACCCTGGGGTGTCTTGCCATATCCCTGGCCCACTTGTATCAACAGCACTCCTCACTTCTACCTTCACCCCCAGTTGGGATGCCAAAAATCTTGCCAGACATTACTAAATGCCTCAAGGAAACAAAAATCACCCCCAGTTGAGACTCAATAATCTAGTTAAATGATTTGCCCAAGGTCAGTTGATTTTCAAGTGGAAAATTTAGAATTTGACCTTGTTCTCCTGACTTCATGCCAGGACTCGGCCACAACACTGCAGCTTCCTTTAGAGAATCTAATTTATCTCCCTTCTGAAAGGCACGCTGATCCAAAAAACGCCATCAACATTAATTTCACAAGCTTTCACTAAGAACTTGGTATGTGCAGGCACTCTTCTTGGCACTCAGATCCACGGTATAAAGATAAATAAGGCACCGGCTCTCATCCTAATGAGGGAAACAGATAGTAAAACAACACATAAGTAAATAAGCAAGATCATTTCATACAGTTTTATGGAGAATTATGAATAATGGCATATATCAGGATGAGGAAGAGCAGAAAGTCTCACTTTATTTTTTATTTATTTTTTAAGATTTTTTTAAATTTATGCATGCAAAAGCTGGGGTGTAGGCCAGAGGTGCAGGGAGATGAAGGGATTCACCAGAGACAGAGTGGGGAACAGAACAGGCAGATCAAATGAAATACACTGCTGAGAGGAGCAGCGGGCGAGACAGGAGAAGTCTGCTGTGCCATGTGGGTCAGCTCCCTGGCCAGGGATTGAACTCGTGCTGCATTGGCTGGCAATAGCTTCATAGTGCTGCAACTTAACCCCTGTGCCACCAGGGACGCCTAGGAAGGCTCACTTTAATTGGATGGTCAGTGAAGGTCTCTTTGAGGTGCTAACTTCCCGGCTAATGTCTGATTAATTACAACAGAACCTTGGGAAGAGAAACTCAGCAAAGCACCTGGCCAGTTCAAAGGTCCTGATGCAGAAGTGAGCTTGAAGAATTAGGCCTGTGGCTATGAAATTTCATCGTCATCGGAACCACTTGAGGCATTGTTTAAAACATAGATCGCTGGGGACAACTCCAGAGTTTCTGATTCAGTAGATCCAGGGTGGAAGCTAAGAATTTCGAGGCACTGCTCCTGCTGCAGGTTCAGGGACCATACTTCGAGAACCAATGAGTCAGGACATGCACAGAAAGGCCACTCTGGCTGGAGTATGTTAAGCTCCAGGAAGAGGGATAGGAGGTGATAGAACCTGCAGAGATTTTAACAGTCCTTGTTAACTGCAGTTGGGTGACGTGTCAGAATTTTATTACCAATCGGGGTAGCTGGGCCTTGGAGGGTTTAAGCAATGGAGTTCTAGGGTCTGGCTTTTTTTTTTTTTTTTAAAAAAAAAAAAAAAGATTTATTTGTGGGTACCAGAACTGGGGTACAGGCCAGAGGGTGTCAGGGGTGAGAGGATTCACCAGAGACAGAGTGGGGAGCAGAACAGGCAGATTGACTGAAATACACTGCTGAGGGGAGCAGCGGGCACGACAGGAGAGGTCTGCTGCGCCACATGGGTCAGCTCCTTGGCTGGAGATCAAACTTGTGCTTCAGTGGCTACAGATAGCTTCACGGTACTCCACTTAACCCCTTGAGCCACCAGGGAGGTTCCTCTGGCTTCCATTTTAACAGCAACTTCGAGCTGATAACAGGGCCAGAGTAGGAGCTGGGAGTCACGTTTTTATCTCTAGTACTTAATATTTTAAAGTCTTCATTCTTTATAATAACAGCCATTAGAAGCCAGGATCACAAGCCAGGAAGAGAAGGGAAACTTCAAGCCCTATTTTCATGATACAGAAGCTATGATAATCAGACTCAAGCCAATAAGCCCTAGTCACTGGACAATTACACTGTAATTGCTAATTAAGCGGGATCCCTTGCCTTTGTATTTAGGAAAATCACACATTAAGTTGCGAATTCTTCCTATGATGTTAACTCTGGTGCTTGATATAATGATATTTTCTCTCTGACATTTACTCTGGTGCTTGACATAGACCAGCTCACATATATTTATATTTAATATGTGTCTTTCATGTGTGTTTAAGAACGAGGCACTGACAGGGCATCTTCTTGTTGGTGAGTGTTCTCTTAAAAACACATGGTGCCCAAGAAGTTGCCCTTATCCAAGCCTGGATGTCATTCTGAGTCTTATAAAAGTGCACTGACCCCTGGTGGAAGACTCAGACGTTCTGCCCTGCTTCCTTTTTCTGGTTGCTTCTGTTTTCTCCAAAGATTTTAAATTCCTTTAAACAATGCATGTGCCACAAGCCCTGCTCTTTAGGGACTCCACTCCAGGAGGAAAAAAGGAAACAGAAAGAAATAATAGAATAGAATTGGTTCTGTGTTATAATTTACGAGAGGAGGAAGTGGCTAGGTTTGTGTGGGTCCCTAGTAACATTTGGAGATCCATTTACAGACAAGTAACTGAGAGAGAAGGAGAAATAAAAACATCAAGGATTGAAGGTGATGAAATCAGGAAGTCACCACAATTGGAGCCAATTTTTTCCATTAAATTCTAACACTTATTATGCAATAGTCTGTCCAGACTCCCTTGCTTTTGCATTTCTTTTCTTTAAATTTCTGATACTCAATATTTGATCCACTGAAAAAATTTTTTCTCATTCTATTACTATGGTGCAATAATTATGGAAGCTTGCAATGATAACCATGAGACCCTAGAGGATCTTAAGGAATGTGCCAACTTGCTTGAGGAGGTTAAATCATGTTCATTCCTATTCCAGTAATTTAAATGCAGCTCATGATTGTTAAAAATCACTGAAAGTTGGTCATCTGTGTACACTAGGAGAGGTAACTTGTCATTAGCAGGGTGATGAGACGAACCTTAGACTCATCATCAGAATGATCCCTAGATGCTTCAAGGTTGTTTCCTTGGTCAAACTTCCTTTATTGCTAGACATCCCGGATTCTTGAGGTCTTAAGAAGTTCCCAAATCAGTTTTGGGGGACATTTCTAAAAAGATAAAAATGCACACATACCTAAATCCACAAAAGTCTGCAAGGTGGGGGACTCTCGCTGGCCTGAATCAGCCACTGCTCTCAAAACCTGCAATCAAAAAAAACAAAGCCATTCCTCAAGCGATAAACTATACTTAACTTAACGTTAGGTCCACCCCAGTAGATCTTTCTCCTGGTAATTACAATGCAACTTCTGCCTCCTCAGGCCCCATGCTCTTCATTTCCCAGAGGCCAGTCACGTCGTGAAAGTGCAGTCAGCTGAGGGACCATAAGGAAGAAGAGATGAAGAAGACTCACATCTAATATTTAATATATTCTACATAAAGTTCAGCATGGGTTGTGTCTCTCTGAATTTCTGAATATTTAAATGCCAAAAAAAGCAAAAGTAGACTTAAAACCTACATTCTGGCTTTAAATAAACCTTGAGGAGGGAATTGTCCACAGAAGCATAAGTCACCATTTCCCTAATTGTTCTTCCCCACCAGGGATTTTAGCCTGTGTTTGCCTATCCTCGCTGCTGGCTCAATAATTCCTCATCACACTGGGAAAATGCAGGCTTCAGTTCTATCTAAGACTGGATAAACCTGGTGTTTCTTGTTCTCATAGGCCTGTGAAGACTTGTCTTGTGGGAACCTCCTCTCAAGACTGCTCCAGGCACCGGGCAGACAGGCCCCTTTGCTTTGTGAAAGTTCCCCGCCCCTCGCACCCCTTATCACCCCCTCCTCACTTAATTCTCCATCTAAGCTGAGAGCTGACCTGCCAACCCTCTCGGCTCGTTTGATCATGGAATTCCTTGCAACAGGAACTGCCAATTGCTGTAAATTACATGCTGCCTTGACAAGGAGAATGCTAATCCTTTGGGGGCTTAGAAAGAGACCACCAAACCTGTCTTTGAGGGCAAAAGCATTCCAATCAGTTGGGGGAGTTTGGACTCGCTCCTGCACTGCCGACCATCTTTCTTCCAACGACATGGGACCCCTGGGTGGGGGTGGGTGCCATGAAGGATCTACCCCTGGGCTTTAGCCCCCAGTTCAGGGTTATTGTCTCCCGGCGGGAACCTGGGGAAGACATTTTAATATTTCTCCATTTGGGCTGGTGTTTGTGTCGTGTAGTCGTTGGGCTACGTACACTTCTATTCCTGCTGAATATTTACTCAACTAGCTGCATTCTGTGGGAGGCAGGGTAGGAGTTAAACTCAAGAACTGGAATCTGACCACCTGGGTTCAGTCTTGGTTCTGCACTATTCTGGCTGTGACTTTAGGCAAGTTAATTAAGGGTTCTAAGCCTCAGTTTCCCCATGCTCCCCCCAGAATGATACTGCTTTAGATGTCTATAAAATAATGCATATAAAACACTTAATTCGAGCCCAGCACGAGGAGGAGGTATTTAGTACGTGTTAAACAATCTAATGAACTCCCACTCTCCCATCCTTTCCCAGCTCTCCAGCAGCCCCTGTGAGTTAAAGCGACTTGGTTTCACATTCTGTTTTTTTCAGCAGTTTTGCCTTCCAGGATTTGAATTAATGTCCTTCATGATGTAGATTGACATTTCAGCAAATCATGCTCAAGTGTTACAGTGGCTGTGAAAGGACATGCTCATTCATTCATTTATCCTTTCAATAACAAATATTTACTGAATGCCTACTATGTCCCAGGGAGTACACCAGGCCCTGGGCATGCCCCAAATGAGTAAAACAGATCAGGTGCTAGCCCTTGGAGTATGTATGGTCTACTTGGGGAGATGATGGTGAGCAGATAAATAAATGAACTAAATGCCAAGTTTTAGTGCTGGTTAGGAAATAAAAATTGCCCTAACTTGGAGGCAGTGTTGAACTAGAGTAATCAGGAAGACTTCCTGGAAGAGGTATTTCAGCAGACATGTGTAGGTCAAGAAGAAGCCAGCCTTCCAAGGAGTAGACGGGAGGCAGAAAGATTTCAGGTCAAAGGAAGAAAACACATGAACACTGAGGGCCAGTGAAATAGGCTGCCTGATTTCACAGGCAGGAGCAGAAAATAGGACCAAGTTGCCAGAGCCTTGTGATTAAGACATCCAGGCCCTGAGTTCAAGCACCCCCTATCTAAAAAGTCTTATTGTAATGGTAGGTTTGTCAGTGTTTTGTATAAAAAAGCAGCCCTGGAGACTCAGCAAAAAGCTTTGGAGGTAAGATGTTGTGGGGACCAAACCCACACCCTCTATGTCTTTCCAATCCTCAACAACCCCATTTATCGATGCTTCATCCACAATACAGTTGATACCTCCTGGGCTCCAGACAGCCAATGTAGCATCTTTGATTGTGTTTATTCTTTCACATGCTCATATCCCCTAAGAACATAGTCCCAGGAGAAGCAGACTCCATCTTTCACCTCTGCAGCTCCAGCATGCAGCACAATGTCTGATTCTCAGTAGGAGCCTTAGAAATGTTTGTTGAATGAATAAATCACCACTAAATTTATTATACTCACTGTTGCCAGGCAACATGTTAAGTGCTTCAGATATATTAACTCAACTAATCCTCTTTACATTACCTAAAGGTATATATTGTTAGCAACATTTTACAGAAAAAAATGAAAGCACAGAAAACTTAAGTAGCCCTTTCAAGCTCTTACAGCTGGGAAACAGTCAAAAAAGCTAGAATTTGAACCCAGGCAGCCTGGCTCCATAGTCCCTTCCCTCAACTTAATCATAGCCACACTTTTCAAGCTACCACGCGTGAAAATCAACTGGGGGACATGTTGATGTACACATTCCAGGCCTCCCCTGCAGGGTTTATGATTCAGGTATTGTAGAAATGTCTACTGCTGTATAACAAATGAACTTAAAATGAGTTGAGCAAAATGAACTCAACATTCGTTATCCTCCAGTTTCTGTGACTCGGTGATCAGGCCCAGTTTAGTTGGATTTTCTGCCTGAGACCCACCCACATGACTCCATTCAAGATGGCATGGGCTGCCATCACCTCAAAGTCTGGCTGAGGAAGAACCAATTCCTTGTTCTCTCAAATGGCTGTTGGAGAACCTTAAGTCTTCGCTGGCTGTTGACCTGAGACAACAGTTCATTGCCATGTGGGCCTCCCCAAAAGCCTGATTGTAACAGGGTGGTCCCCAGGAAAGGGGGAGGTTCCCTGCCCCTCCCAAGGGAGGGTGGAGCTGAGCAGGGAGAGGAAAAGCTACAGAAGAGACTGAGGAAGGAAGCAGGATGGAGCCAGGAGACCTGGAGGAGGCGCATGGAGCCTAGAGACACATGAAGAAACTGCGCTTGTCTTTTGGTCGTGGACTGGGTGACACAGATGTGGGTGAGACCCGTGGGGAGGTGACAATGGCAGCTTTTATCTTGATGTTGATTTTGCTCTTTTCCTTCCGGGCTTGTCTGGTTGTTTCTGACCCTTTTCTGTGGGTCCCCACTGGAAGATGCTTTAGACTTGTGGCAGGCTTTGGGGCCTTGTTCTGGGCCGATCCCATATGGATGGACTTTTACCCACGAGGGGACGGGTAACTTTGGGTGCTTCATTTAGAAACTAGACTCTTTGCCTTACCCGTATTGTTTCCTAGTTTTATTAAAGTTCCTTCCCATTAAAGTCTCATATGTTTTGTGTTGATGCGGCGGATGGCAGAACCCATTTAGAACAGGCAGGTTTGCGGGGTTTTGGGCTGCCCCTCTCCCTGTCCTATAACATGCTTACAATATGGCAGCTGGTGAACTGATCTGTAACTCAGAGCAAAGCAAGTGAATGAAAGAATACATCCAAGACCATAGCCAAGACTTCTGGGGACCTCCTCTAGGAAGAGATGGTCTATCGCTTATGCCTAGTCTTAAAGTTTGCCTACCCCACCAGATATGGGGAGGGATCCAAGAATTTGTATTTCTAGCAAGCTCTCAAGTGATGGTGGTGATACCAGCAGAGGACCACATTCTGAGTAGCTCCAGAACAGTATACAGCAAGGAAAAGGGAAGAGAGAGAGAAAGAGAACCAAGAATGTCCTTGGCAGGATCATATATTACATTTACAGATGATGTTCTCCACCCTAACCATTCCTCACTGCCACCTGTGTCCCCAAGTCTCCTGCAAAAATTCTTCCAAAGCTGCCTATAAACCAAGGATTCCAGATGTCCTCTCTATCACTCCCCAGCCTGGACTACACTGGATCTGCCCTGTCTTCCACTCCCACAGGCCTCCCCTCCAGGGCCTCTAAAACACTTCCCTGATAGTTAAAACCCTGCCTGGTGAGTTATAGATTCAGCAGAGCAGAGGAACAGTTTTGTGAGTATCTTTCCTGTTTTTAAGAAGGTATTGTTAGAGGGGTGAACTTTAGCTCCACTGGGGTCCTGTAAAGTGACTGCCAAATTACAGCACATTTGCTCTTTGGCCTGAATTAAAAAGGACTCTCCAGGGGGTCTTCCCTTGGAGCCATTTATCTGCCCTTCCTCCCTAAACCCTGGCTGTGTTTGACCCCTGTTGCGGGGTGGGGGTGGGGTCAGTTCTGGAATGCTGGCCCCAGCTCTTTCTCCCTGGCAGCTTCAGAGATTTCTCTCAGCACCCTGCCCCTTCCTCCCTGGAAGGAGTGTTTGCTGGAGCCCAACAGCTGTTTAAGGTACAGGGAGGCGAATGTTACTAAATATACGTTCTTATTGTACATTGGTGTGTGGAGAAAAATTATATCTCCTTGTTCTCCACTTGGGTGTTCTTTAAAAATTATTTCCCTACACAATCACAGTGCACCTCTTAACCCCTGTCCCATCACCCCCAGGGGAGAATCCAATCAAATTCAACTTTCTTTTCTCTCCACATCCTTAAAATAAATGCCCTCTTGTCACATTCTGACAGCTTCTGGGGCTTTTTACCACTCCCACTATATACACGGCTTTGGTCTCTGAGTCTCTTTGCCTTTCAGACTTGTTTTCAACACTAGGCTTTCTTAGGGTGAAACTTGGGGTAACACCCTTGAGATTGCCAGAAGAAGAAGTCTTTTTAAAATGCATGCAAGTTATCAGTGCTAGTGCTTTCTGTTGTTTTGTCCCCCTAACAGGTTCAGTCCAAACCATAAATCAGTTTTCAGAAAGCTATAAACATACTGTATGTATTATATGCAC